GAAGGAAGGAAGGAAGGAAGGAAGGAAGGAAGGAAGGAAGGAAGGAAAATATTTAGGGTTATATACCACTTTACAGAGCTTTACAGCCTTCTCTAAGCAGTTTACAGACTCAGCCTATTGCCCCCAACAATCTGGGTCCTCATTTTACCCACCTCGGAAGGATGGAAGGCTGAGTCAACCTTGAGCCAGTGAGAATTGAACTGCTGGCAATGGGCAGAGTCAGCCTGTAATACTGCATTCTAACCACTGTGCCACCAGGAAGAAGAATGAGAAAGGGAAGAAGGAGGGAAGGAAGGAAGGAAGGAAGGAAAATAACATTTAGACTTTTAGACTGCTTCACAGTGCTCTGCAGCCCTCTCTAAGTGGTTTACAGAATCAGCCTATTGCTCCCCAACAATCTGGGTCATCATTTTACCGACCTCGGAAGGATGGAAGGCTGAGTCAACCTTGAGCCAGGCAGGATTGAACTCTAGGTGGTGGGCAGAGTTTGCCTGCAATACTGCATTCTAACCATTGTGCCACCAGGCCCACCCACACTGCATGCTAATGTTTCCAGTCTTGTGGCACAGAAAAAAGAGAGAGAGAGAGAGAGAGAGAGCAGCTGAAATACTTACGGGACGCCTATTTCAAATATATTATTCTGAATCAGCTGTTTCCCCAACATGATGATGCTGAGCTGGATGCAAAGTTCCATCAAGCATCCCCCAGGGGCACACTGCAATGGGCAAGAAACACACAGGGAGACATGAGAATCAGACACAACAATCTCCTGGCAGTGTATATGCAACACCTAAGTCTAACTAAAAGCATCACAATCCCAAACTAACCAAAAGGTGCTTTTTCAAGAGGCAGCTGGGCTTTCTGGGTTTTTTTTCTTTGAAGACATTTCGCTTCTCATCCGAGAAGCTTCTTCAGTTCTGACTGGATGGTGGGGAATGGAAGGATTTATACTCCTTGCAGACAGCTGGTCATTTGCGTTCTTTTTGGAGAGTTGTTGAGGCCACCTGGAGGTTTATTTGTGCTTCCCGAGTGGTGCAAATGGGTGTGAAGCTTTCTTGGAACTGCTGAAAGGACTGTGTCATGCCCCTGTTGGAGTCTGACTCCGAGGGAAAGGAGGAACAGCCGACAGGGAGTGGGAGTGTGGCTCTGGATGTTGTGGAGGAAACTGGGGAAGGGCACAGGCTGGATGGGCATTCAGAAGAAGACCCAGGCCCATCCCCTCTTCATCCTAGGGCACACAGGGAGGAGAGGATAAGGGATAAACGTGATTGGCGTGGTCTCCGGGGGAGGAAGGGGCCCTGATCCCCTTCATGGGCTGCAGTTTTGAGGGTTGTTTAAAAGGACAAACTGCACATGGCCCAGTGCTGGAAGCAAAGTGTGAAATAATTCTAGTCTTTCAGTTCTTATCTGAGTTCTGGCATCCTTCCCAGTGTGTGTATTCCGATATCTGTGGACATCTTCAAGCCCTTATCCTGCCTTGTCTCATTAATCGCTTCAGTGTGGTTTGTGTTGTTCTTTCTATTTATAATTTATATGTATTTTGAGTTTGAATGGAATTTCTTCCTTTTCACAACTGTTTGTGGAGGAGTTTTTTCCCCCAGTCAATGATAATTGGAGCTCTGAAGCCAAGTTGAAGGGACTTCACCTGTTTTTGTGACTTTGTTGCTTTTGTATCCCACCCTGGGTCATCACAGGACTGTGTTGTAGTCTGGAGATGGAAGATGTCATATCCCTCCCCCTTTGTGGAGAGAGGGCTCCAATTTTGACATAGATTGGCCTCTTTGACCCCTCTTTCAAACCTGCAGATGGACTTCTGAATCTTGTCCTGGTGGGTTTGTTCTCCTGTGTTGTGCCATGCGTTTTGTTTCCCCAAATGTACAGCTCTGCATGTGGCTCACTGCAATGTACTGCACATACCACATTGCTCAGTGCGTATCTGGGTGTGGACACCAAAACCCCAGTCAGAGCTGAAGAAGCTTCTTGGATGAGAAGCGAAATGTCTTCAAAGAAAAACAAGAAAGTCCAGTTGCCTCTTGGAAAAAAAGCACTTTTGCGTTTGATATAGATGACCTTTTGACCCCTCTTTCAAACCAGTGGTCCTCTCTGTAGAAAATGTGGTCCTTGTTGTCTTCAATAGAGCGGCCTTTGTCTTTTAAATTCAGATGGACAGCTGAATCTAATCCTGATGGTTTTGTTCTCCTGTGTTGTGCCATGTTGTGGCTATGTGGTACCTAGCCTGGTGCTTTAACCACTACTACCAAGTGCCTCTCATGATCCCCATAATTATGCTTAATAGGGTTGGGGAAAACAGATGAGATACAATTCAAGTCATGCATTATGCTGGGTATTTTTCATGTTTCTATAGCGTTTTTCTTGCTGAAATAGTTCTAGAGAAGCCAGAAATGACTGGAAAGACTAGAAAAGAAGAAGAAGAAAAAAAGACCAATTTGGGGGGGGTTTGAGTCAATTGTCAATCAATTTCAGTGAGTATTTTAATTTAATTTAATTTTAATTCCGATGATGTTTCTGACATTACGCTGGTCACATAATGCTAACCACAAGGTTTGGAAATTATAACCTCAGGGATCGCAGCAGTGCCATGAAAGTTCAGATAGATTTTAACAAAAAAAATGTTCAGCGTAGAAGATTAGTCCTTGATGTATGACCACAACTGAGCCCAACATTTATGTTGCTAAACAGGACAGTTCATAAGTGAGTATTGCCTTATTTTACGACCTTTCCTGCCACAGTTGTTAAGTGAATCACTGAAGATGTTAAGTTACTAACACGGTTGTTAAGGGTATCCGGCTTTCCCCATTGACTTTGCTCATCAGAAGCCTGCAAAAGGGGATCACATTAACCCTGGGACGCTGCAACCGTCATAAAAATGAGTCAGTTGCCAAAGCATCTGAATTTTGATCAAGTGAAGATAGGGGGGGGGTACTGCATGTGAAAAATGATTTTAAGTAGTGGTGGTATTCAAATTTTTTTACTACCGGTTCTGTGGGCGTGGCTTGATGGACATGGCATGGCTTGGTGGGCGTGGCAGGGGAAGGATACTGCCAAATCTCCATTCCCTCCCCACCCCACTAACCTGCTTTCCAGCTCCATTCTCCTCTGCAGGGCAACCAAAAAAGACCCAGCCAATCAGCTGGGACTCAATGGGAGGCGGAGAATAGATGAGGGTGGGGCCAGTCAGAGGTGGTATTGGCCGGTTCTCTGAACTACTCAAAATTTCCGCTACCGGTTCTCTAGAACTGGTCAGAACTGGATGAATAACCACCTCTGGTTTTGAGTCACTTTGTTCAGTGCCGTTGCAAACTTCGAATGGACACTAAATGAACAGCTGTAAGTCAAGGACTACCTGTATGGGCAATTACCTCTTCCATTCGGTAACCAGCAAACATGTAGACATACTGCCCAGGGCGCCCCACAAACCTGAGGACAAACAGATATACGAGAGAAATCAGTAACAGAAAAATACACCCGTGATTATATACTTCTATAAAAGAAAAGTGGTTTTTTAAAAAACATAAACGCATAGTATAAATCCTTCCATTCTCCACCATCCTGCCAGAGCTGAAGAAGCTTCTTGGATGAGAAGTGAAATGACTTCAAAGAAAAAACCGAGAAAGTCCAGTTACCTCCTGAAAAAGCGCCTTTGGGATAACCATGACCTGGATGACGGAGAATCTCTACAAACTTTTAGCCATACAATTTGAGATGAACACCCTTGCAATGGTGTGGGAGTAGGAATGGATTTCCAGAGGGGAAAAAAACTGCAGACTACAGGAACCAGGAGCCCCACTCAGGTGACCCTGAGGACACAGATAAACCTCCAAGTGGCCTCAACGACCGTCTAAAAGGATGCAAATGACCAGCTGTCTGCAAGGAATAATAAATCCTTCCTTTCCCCACTATCCTGCCAGAGCTGAAGAAGCTTCTTGGATGAGAAGTGAAATGTCTTCAAAGAAAAAACAAAACCCAGAAAGTCCAGTTGCCTCCTGAAAAAAAGAACCTGTGGGACAACCATGACCAGGATAACTGAGAATCTCCATAGACATGTTTTTAAAAAACAGTGGGCCAAGTCTTTCTGTTTATCCCAGCAGCTATTTCCATTAGGGGAGGCAGCCTGCTGCAAACCCTCAATTTTTTGCAAGCAAGCAAACTTTGTGGGGAAACAGGGACATCTGCAGGTAGAAACCCCTGGGGAAAATTTTTGGGAACAGTGATGTAAGATTCTAGGCTTTTTTTTACAGGTGCATCCATCACTTCCCAGGATCCCCTGCAGCCTCCTGTCTGGTTTTTCTGACCGTGATTCTGCCAAAATCCTGTTGCTCCTTTACTGGGCAAATTGAAGAGGATGATTTTAACAGGTTTTTCAAAGAAGGAAAACCTAGAATGGTTTGGAAGCCTGATTTAAGCACAGCGTTTCTGGCAAGGAAAGGAAACTCCTCATCCTCCAAAGCAGATGTCCACCCTGGAAAATATCTTCATTAACGACTTAGATGAGGGAATAGAAGGGAAACTTACCAAATTTGCAGATGATACTAAGCTGGCAGGAATAGCTAACACCCAAGAAGACAGGCTCAAGATCCAGATGGATCTTGACAGACTAGAACACTGGGCCCTATCTAACAAAATGAAATTCAATATAGAGAAAAGTAAAGTCCTGCACTTAGGCAAGAAAAACCAAAAGTACACATATAGACTGGGTGAAACCAGGCTCAATAGCAGTAACTGTGAGAGGGATCTCGGAGTCTTAGTGGACAACCAGCTAATTATGAGCCAGCAGTGTGCAGCAGCTGCCAAAAAAAGCTAATGCAATCCTAAATTGTATTAACAGAGGGATACAATCAAGATCAAGGGAAGAACTAATACCACTCTATAAAGCCTCAGTAAGACCACATCTAGAGTACTGCATCCAGTTTTGGTCACCATGCTATAAAAAAGATTTTGAGACTCTAGAAAAAGTACAGAGAAGAGCAACCAGGATGATTAGGGGACTGGAGGTAAAACATACAACGAACGGTTGCAGGAACTGGGCTTGGCTAGTCTAGTAAAGAGAAGGACCAGGGGAGATAGCAGTCTTCCAATATTTGAGGGGCTGCCCCAGAGAGGAAGGGGTCAAGCGATTTTCTAAAGCTCCAGTAGGCCAGACAAGGAATAATGGATGGAAACTGAACAAGGAGAGATTTAACCTGGAAATAAGGAGAAACTTTCTGACAGTGAGAACAATCAACCAATGGAACAGAAGTTGCCCTTGGAAGTTGTGGGAGCTTCATCACTTGAGACCTTTAAGAAGAGACTGGGCTGCCATTTGTCAGAAATGGTGTAGGGTCTCCCGCTTGGGCGGGGGGTTGGACTAGATGGCCTACAAGGTCTCTTCCAACTGTGATTATCTGTTATCTGAAAACTAAAGCCCAGGTGTAGCTCTGCAGCTCAGACTTTCAATGGGGCTGCCCATAAAAATAAAATAAAAAATAAAAATAAAGGAGAATTTGTGGATGGCCACGTGCCCACTTGGTGACATTTTCAGACCTCCCAAGATATCTGGCATGGAAAACAAAGGCAGTCCGCTTTCTGCTTGGCACGAAAACCCCATGCACATTTCATGTCCTTAAGGAAGACGATGCCAGGAATTCGGCGGATGGAAAGAGAAAGGTTTCTCTGATTCTCCCGGCGGGCTAGGATGGATCCAAGAAACACCCTCCACACACACACTAAACAGCACATGCCTGGGGGTGAACTGCAGTTCCTCCAAGTGTGTGATTCTTCCCTTTTTTTCTTCCCCAGCCTCCTCTCCCTCCCCCCCCCCCCCGGACACTTTGGGAAAGAAAGATCAGGATATGCAAAGATCTGTTTGATGGACAAAACTTTTGCAATTTGGTTTTTTTTTCCCCCTTGGGTCCAGTTGGGTCCGATTCACAGACCATCTCTGCAAGTTTTTTGGCGAGGTTTTTCCCGAAGGGATGTGCCATTGCCACCTTCCTAGGGCTGAGAGAAGGGGACTGGCCCAAGGCCTTACCCAGTGGCCCCCAACCTTTTGGGCACCAGGGACTGGTTCCTTGGAGAGAGATTTTTCCACTGACCGGAAGGGGGTGTGGTTTCGTGTACAGCCTGCATCCCACGGATGCAGAGGTGGTATTCAGCCACCCGTTTAGTGGCCTGTTGAAACTCAAAGGTGCTTTTTTAGGAGGCAACTGGACTTTCCTTTTGTTTTTCTGTTGAAGACGTTTCACTTCTCATCCAAGAAGCTTCTTCAGCTATGGCAGGATGGTGGGGAATGGAAGGATTTATATTCCTTGCAGATAGATGGTCATTTGCATACTTTTAGAGAGTCAATGAGGCCACTTGGAGGTGTATCTGTGTCCTCAGGGTCACCTGAGTGGTGCTCCTGGTTCCTGTAGTCTGCAATTTTTTTCCTCTGGAAATCCATTCCTACTCCCACACCATTCCAAGGGTGTTCATCCCAAATTGTATAGCTAAAAGTCTGAAGAGATTCTCAGTCACTCAGTTTCATGGTTGTCTCAAAGGTGCTTTTTTCAGATGGTAACTGGACTTCCTAGTTTTTTCTTTGAAGAAGTTTTGCTTCTCATCCAAGAAGCTTCTTCAGCTCTGGCATAATAGTGGGGAATGGAAGGATTTATATTCCTTTATGTATTTATATATATTATATATATATATTATACACTGCTCAAAAATAAAATAAAGGGAACACAAAAATAAGACATCCTAGATCTGAATGAATGAAATATTCTCATTAAATACTTTGTTCATTACATAGTTGAATGTGCTGACAACAAAATCACACAAAAATTATCAATGGAAATCAAATTTAGCAACCCATGGAGGTCTGGATTTGGAGTTACACTCAAAATTAAAGTGGAAAAAAACACTACAGGCTGATCCAACTTTGATGTAATGTCCTTAAAACAAGTCAAAATGAGGCTCAGTAGTGTGTGTGGCCTCCACGTGCCTGTATGACCTCCCTACAACGCCTGGGCATGTTCCTGATGAGGTGGCGGATGGTCTCCTGAGGGATCTCCTCCCACACCTGGACTAAAGCATCCCCCAACTCCTGGACAGTCTGTGGTCCAACGTGCCATTGGTGGATGGAGCGAGACATGATGTCCCAGATGTGCTCAATTGGATTCAGGTCTGGGGAACGGGCGGGCCAGTCCATGGCATCAATGCCTTCATCTTGCAGGAACTGCTGACACACTCCAGCCACATGAAGTCTAGCATTGTCGTGTATTAAGAGGAACCCAGGGCCAAACACACCAGCATATGGTCTCAGAAGGGGTCTGAGGATCTCATCTTGGTACCTAATGGCAGTCAGGCTACCTCTGGTGAGCACATGGAGGGCTGTGCGGCCCCCTAAAGAAATGCCACCCCACACCATTACTGACCCACTGCCAAACCGGTCATGCTGGAGGATGTTGCAGGCAGCAGAACGTTCTCCATGGCGTCTCCAGACCCTGTCACGTCTATCACACGTGTTCAGTGTGAACCTGCTTTCATCTGTGAAGAGCACAGGGCACCAGTAGCGAATTTTCTAATCTTGGTGTTCTCTGGCAAATGCCAAACGTCCTGCACAGTGTTGGGCTGTAAGCACAACCCCCACCTGTGGATGTCGAGCCCTCATACCAACCTCATGGAGTCTGTTTCTGACCATTTGAGCAGCCACATGCACATTTGTGGCCCGCTGGAGGTCATTTTGCAGGGCTCTGGCAGTGCTCCTTCTGTCCCTCCTTGCACAAAGGCAGAGATAGCGGTCCTGATGCTGGGTTTTTGCCCTCCTACGGCCTCCTCCACGTCTCCTGATGTACTGGCCTATCTCCTGGTAGCACCTCCATGCTCTGGACACTACGCTGACAGACACAGCAAACCTTCTTGCCACAGCTCGCATTGATGTGCCATCCTGGATGAGCTGCACTACCTGAGCCACTTGTGTGGGTTGTAGACTCCGTCTCATGCTACCACTAGAGTGAAAGCACCACCAGCATTCAAAAGTGACCAAACCATCAGCCAGAAAGCATAGGAACTGAGATGTGGTCTGTGGTCACCACCTGCAGAACCACTCCTTTATTGGGGATGTCTTGCTAACTGCCTATTCTTTCCACCTGTTTTCTATTCTATTTGCACAACAGCATGTGAAATTGATTGTCAATCAGTGTTGCTACCTAAGTAGACAGCTGGATTTCACAAAAGTGTGATTGACTTGGAGTTACATTGTGTTGTTTAAGTGTTCCCTTTATTTTTTTGAGCAGTGTATATATATTTATATTCCTTTATATTCCTATATTCCTTCATTTATATATTTATACTCCTTTATATTTCTATATTCCTTCCTTTTAGAGGGAAGGATGCAAATGGCCAGCTGTCTGCAAGGTATATAAATCCTTACATTCCCAGCTATTCTGTCAGAGCTGAAGAAGCTTCTTGGATGAGAAGCAAAACATCTTCAAAAGAAAAAAACAGAAAGTCCAGCTGCCTCTTGAAAAGCACCTTTGGGACAACCATGACCTGTCCTGGATGACTGAGAATCTCCACAGACTTTTGGCCTGGTGAAAGTTACAATGGCACAGGAAAAAAAGGTGATGTATGGCTGGTTTTTCACACTTAGAATTGTGACAACTCCCTACAGTCATGGGATAAAAAAAATCAGGTGCCTGTAATTATGACAGCTGCCTGTCAGATCATCACTCTTTATAACTTTCCCAGCTAGCTCCTGACAAGCAACATCAATGGTGGAATCCAGATTCTTTTAATATCCACACGCATCACTTAACAACTGCAGTGATTTGCTTAACAACTGTGGGGAAAAAGGTCTTAAAATTGAGCAACGCTCACTTAACAACTGTCTTTGCTTAGTGGAAATTTTGGGCTCGTTTGTGGTCGTAAGCCTAGGACTACCGGTACTATAAATGCAGTTAAAACCTACAACCCCATGAGTAGGGGTGGGATTCAAATTTCCTAACAACCGGTTCTGTGGGCATGGCCTAATTTGTGGGTTGGCTTGGCAGTCATGTGACTGGCTGGGCGTGGCTTGTATGTAAATATCAAATATTTATGTAAATATTGAATTTTTTTATAAAAGAAAGAGCAGCTTTTTCCCAAAACCAGGCAAAGCAGGCAGGCAGATTGAGTTGCTCCCAGAATCACAGATTCACTCAGAGATCTACCATTCTGCAATCTATTGCCTGAGTCTGTCATATATATAATTTGCTTACAAGCAAATTCACAAAATTAACTCACAACATACCATGTATGTAAATAATGAATTTTTTATAAAAAAGAGCAACTTTTACCCAAAATCAGGCAAAGCAGACAGACAGAGTGAATTGCTCACAGAATCACAGATTCACTCAGAGATCTACCATTCTGCAATTTGCTACCTGAGTCTGCACTGAAAAATAGAGCTTCAGTCCTAAGGAAGGTTCAGCTCTGCTTTTAGATTAGCTAGAAAGCAAGAAATCCAATGATTTAAATCTAAATCTCCCAGTACAGCAAAACAACTGATGGTCGGGGGGGAAAAAGGAAAAATTGCAGGCAAGTGCTCATGCAAGGTAAGGAGTGAGTGGGCAGGGTGGGGCGGGGTGGGGCGGGGCCAGCCAGTGGAGCAATTTGCCGGTTCTCTGAACTGCGCAGAATCATAACAACCGGTTCTATAGAACCGGACTGACCAGGTAGAATCCCACCCCTGCCCATGAGCATCACATAGTAAAACTATCACAACAATAACAAGCCAAACTGGGGCCATGTATTAAAACCAAATGCTATTAAATCTGATCCAACTTACCTTCCCTTAAAAAATGCCACGTAAAAAATGGGCGCGTAGGAATTTACAAATTTCAGCAGGAAAGCCTTCAGAATTAACCTCTCCTCAAATGTTTTTTCTGTTTTGGGAACCTCTGCCATGAAGAAAACATGAAGGAAAGAAAACTTGTTAAGCGTTACTCATGCCAGTGATACAAACAAAGCAATGATAGTTTTGCAGTTTCCAGGAAAATACAGAGTCTGGATTTCGAAAAGTCATACTCTGACTCAGTCAAGCTATATACTGTCATTCAAAGAATCCTAATTTCATTTTATTCTGGAAAAGAAAAGATTTTGCAGGGAATGAAGGTGTCTCGATACCAGCCTCCAACAAGACATGGCATGTGCTTTTACAAGCTATACAAGATTAATTGCTGGCTTCACACTTAGTTTGCACAAACTAAACACTTATTTTTTATTTTATTTTATTATTTTATTTTATTATTTTATTTTGTTTTCATTTTATTTTATTATATTTGTTTTTATTTTATTTTATTTGTTTTTTATTTTACTATTTCCCACCTTTATTACTGTATAAGTCAAGGTGGCAAACATAAAGAATGAAAAGAGGGCTGTGAAAATATCTACAGACCCCTCACATCCTGGACATAAACTGTTGGAACTCCTTCCCTCAAAACGACGTTATAGAACACTGCACACCAGAACAACTACACACAAGGACAGTTTTTCCCGAACGCCATCACTCTGCTAAACGAATAATTCCCTCAACACTGTACAACTATTTACAAAGTCTGGAATACTTTTACTATTAATCTTCTCATCACTCCTTATCACCCATCCCCTTCCACTTGTGACTGTATGGCTGTAACTTTGTTGCTTGTAACCTTACCATTTATATTGATTATTTCCTAATATGATTTGATTGCTTATTGTACCCTATGACTTTTATTAAGTGTTGTACCTTATGATTTTTGACTCTTGACAAATGAATTCTTTATGTATACTGAGAGTATTTACACCAAGACAAATGCCTTGTGTGTCCGATCACACTTGGCCAAAAAAGAATTCTAGTCTAGTCTATTCCATTCTATTCTCCTTCTTATTTTCCCCCAATAACAACCCTGTGGGTTGAGTTGGGCTGTGAGAGAGTGACTTCCCCAAAGTCATCTAGATGGCTTGCAGGCCTAAGGCAGGACTTGAACTCACAGTCTCCTGATTTCTAGCCTAGCACCTTAACCACTAGACCAAACGGGCACACATGATTCTGTATGTACGACATTGGAAAACCCAGAAAATCCTCAGGACCTCTGTGGCCCTAGGACTAAGTGGTGGTACCTAAATTCATCTTATGTGAGTTGTGTCTGTTTCTCTGCTGCTCCCCACCTGCCCCCAATTTCAGACAGGGATGCTTCTGTTTCCAAGTCAAACATCTTTCCTAGTTCTTCAGCTCCATGACAACCTTCAACAAAGACATAATTGCTCCTTCTCAGTTGAGGGCCCTGCTCCACCTATGTTCATGGGATCACGTTTGTTTTTTGGCCTTACTCTGAAGAAAATATTGGATAATCATTGGTCCAGGATGGCATAACTAAGGACTTCTGTTTAGAGAGGGAGTTGGACTAGAAGACCGCCAAAGTCCCTTCCAGCTCTATGATTCTATGACCCACGTTTCCAGAGTGAGAATTCCTTTCATTCATTAGTGGAAGTATGAGAAGAAACAATGAAGAGAAGAAAAGAAGGAGAATATATGGCAAGAGAGATGCCTGGTGCATTGGGGAATACTCATAAGGGTGAAGTAGCTTATATCAGCCTTCCTCCTCCCTTTCATTGGTTGGACCAGAAGAGATTGGGAGAAGTCCAACATCTACCCCAGCTCTTCTTCAGCTCCACAACAACCTCCAACAAAGACATGGTTGCTCCTTCTCAGTTGAGGGCCCTGCTCTACCCATGTTCTTGGGGCATGATTCCATGAGTCTAAGATTCCATGATTCTATGGTTCTAAGATTCCATGATTCCATAGTTCTATGATTCTATGGTTCTGTGATTCTATGGTTCTATGATTCCATGATTCTATGATTCCATGATTCCATGGTTCTATGATTCTATGGTTCTATGTTTCCAAGATTCTAAGGTTCTATGGTTCTATGATTCCATGGTTCTATGGTCCTATAATTCCATGATTCCATGGTTCTATGGTTCTATGACCCAGGTTTTTAGAGTGAGAATTCCATTAGTGGAAGAATGAGAAGGAACAATGAAGAGAAGAAAAGAATGAGAATATATGGCAGAAGGGATGCCTGGTGCATTGAGGAACATTTATAAGGACACCTTGGGATGAAGCAGCTTAGATCAGCCTCTCTCCTCTTTTTTATGGTTGGACCAGAGAAGATTGGGAGAAGTTGAAGTGATTCCTTCCTTTTTGTTCTGTCTAAAACTAATCACCAAGATCTAGTCCTATAAGGGGATCTACATGAGCAGAAGCACATTGTTGCAATCTGCTTCTTGGGAAAACCAAAAAAAAAAAAACACTAGCAATTTTATTTTCATGCTTATTAAAGCATGATTGAGAAATGTTCTCATAATTTTCTTCCCAAAGCATTCCAAATGTGTACACAAATGATAGGTTTTTAAAGAAATAATTTAACAGACCGTTGCAATAGCCTTTAATTTACGTGTTAGCCACAAATATTTAATAATAAGTTAAACCCCACTCTCGACATTATTTTTTTCAAGAATTTTCATGCTGTGGGTGTCTGAAACAGGGTAGGGAAGGGCTGCATCTCCCCTTCAGCTGAAGTAAAATGTAATTATTATTATTTTTTTAAAGAGACTGATTTCATTAAAAAAACACTATGGAGTATAAATTACTCTATTTAAAACTTCCCCTTTACAGAATCCATGGATTAAAATTTACAAAATTATAGAAGCATCTTAATAAAGAAGAATTATTAGTTTTTCTTGTGTAAGGTACAATTAATTCATCTTTAGTGTCAGATGAAGGTCTTCTGTTAATTTACTGACTTGTATTTGCTCATTTTGCTGCTCTCTTTCTCTCTCACAGTCACAAATATCTTCACTAAAGGCACTATTCCCAGCAGTCTGCTGGAAGGTGTTCTGACCGAGCTCCACAAACATGACACACCCTTTGACGTGAACTCAAGAGATTCCTTTAATTAGGAATGCCTGCAGCCCTGGCAAAATGTTTCTCTCACAGGCTAACAAGTCCGTCTGGCTGGAAGATGAATAATTGTTTGCCACACCTATTCATCTCTTCCCCCTGCCTTTTATCCCCAGAGCTAGGGTGGAACCTCACTAGTAGCAATGGCTTTTCTGTCCCAAGGACCAGCCTATAGATTTCCACTGCTCTCCTCTCCTCTGCCTTCTGTGCAGCCATGCGTCAGGTACTGGACCCAACTGTTCCTCCTCTTCCTCATCAGCCACCTCCAGACCTGGCTCTTCTGTCCCAAGGACCGGCCCATAGATTTCCACTGCTCTCCTCTCCTCTGCCTTCTGTGCAGCCGTGCGTCAGGTACTGGACCCAGCTGTTCCTCTTCTTCCACATCAGCCACCTCCAGACCTGGGGGCTGTTGAGTCTCCATCTGAGGGCTGACAGACAACCCAGGCTTCACCTCTATCTATCTCTCTGCCAACTCCATTCCCTCTTCCCCCTCGGAGCTCCCAGGCTGCACTGATGCTGACCCTGACTCCCACGCCTCTTCCTCCTCCTCTGATTCAGCTGCTGGAGGGGCCAATGGTGGACAGGCCACAACAGTAGGATCCTGATTGATGAGAAGCTATGTGACCACGTGCTGAACAAGGGACATTCCATGGGAACATGACATCCTCAAGATCCCCAGGGAGCAACTTTTCCTTCTTTTCCCACACCTTAGAAAAGAAGTACCCGAACAAACTCAAAATAGATTTCAAGCAAGCAAGGAAAAGACCAAAGCAAAGAGAAGAGGAAGAAGGCACAAAGAGAGAGAAAATTAGCTGGCAAAAATGGAAGGCAGAAGGCGATGCAGCAGCAAAGGCCCGGATGTGAAGGGACAAAAGATGGGTTTTGCCACTGTAGGAGAACGTGTGGCAGAACCTGGGGACTGTATTGAAAAGAAGAACCAGCCTAGCATCCCTACATAGCCACAAGTGGACCAAGTCCAACTTCCCTTGAATTTTATTGACCCTTATCAAACTCTAAGCAGGTGCTCAGGTTAGTTGAGAAGATTCCTGTGCATGAGTAGCAATTACTGACAGTCACTCATGCCCTAGTCATTTCCCGTTTTGATTATTGCAATGCGCTCTACATGGGCTGCCCTTGAAGAGCATCCGGACACTCCAGTTGGTGCAAAATGCAGCGGCCCGCATGGTTTTGTGCAGACCCCGGTGTTCACATGTTTCGCCTCTCCTGTAGGAGCTGCATTGGTTGCCGATTTGCTTCCAGGTGCAATTCAAGGTGCTGGTTGTCCCCTTTAAAGCCCTTCATAGATTGGGACTGGGTTATCTGAGGGAATGTCTCTTGCCGGTCACATCTACCTGACCCATCAGAGCAGGGAGGCAGGGAATGCTGCGGGTCCCATCCCTGAGCGAGATAAACCTGGTGGGACTCAGAAGAAGGGCCTTCTCTGTGGTGGCTCCCTCTCTCTGGAACATCATTCCCCTCAGAGATTAGAATGGCCCCCTCTCTAATACTCTTCCGGAAGGCACTGAAGACCTGGTTCTGGCAGCGGGCCTGAGGAACCCAGAGCGGGATGGAGCCCATCAAATGGCTCATGTGATCTGCTGTCATCGGGGTGGGGGATGGGAGTTGTTCTATTGTACTTTATTAATTTATTTGATTCTTTTTGTTACTTTTTATTTTATTTTTATTTTTTATTTTTTGTTTTAAATATGGTTTCCATGTGTAAGCCACCTCGAGTCACCATGGGCGAATAGGTGGCAATATAAATTAAATCAATCAATCAATCAATCAATTTAATTGGACCTTCATGTATGGACCTGGTCTTTCCCCCAGACAGTTACTGGTATATGTCAGGACTGAGGACCACTCAACTTTGGCAACAAGATTGGGGAAGAAGAGTTCAATGGAGGCCATCCTGAACCCTTTTGGTTGCCCAAGCATTTCTATTTTAAAAACTTAGTTGTCCCAAAGGTGTTCTTTTCAAGAGGCAACTGGACTTTCTGGTTTTTCTTTGAAGACATTTTGCTTCTCATCCAAGAAGCTTCTTCAGCTCAGAAAAGAAGACGCTTCTTGGATGGGAAGCGAAAGGTCTTCAAAGAAAAACCAGAAAGTCCAGTTGCCTCTTGAAAAAAACACCTTTGGGACAACCATGACCTGGAAGACTGAGAATCTCCATAGATGCTCAAGAACTTAGTAAGTGCAAATGGGTGCACCAATAAGATCAGGTAAAAAAGAACATCTTGGAAGGAAAACATTTGCTTATGATAAGTTGCTTATGCCCAGAAAAAAAAAAAAAAAAAGCATTACCCATTTCGGTCAATTTTTTGGCAACAACTCCGTAAATCTCATCTAGGATTAGAATCACCACGAGGTTTATGATGACTGCTGTCGCTGTCACGGTGACTCTCACGTTGGACTTGGATGACCCATTGGTGCTCATGGAGAGTGCGGCCGCTAAGGTTATCCGGTATGCAATCACACCAAAGACTATGGAAAAAGTCAGTGAAATCTGGAAAAAAAGAGGAAATATTAATAGAATGATGTATGTACTATATAGATGTTCTTATGGAGCTCAGTGATCAGGGCTGAATAATGATGGGGTTAAAGAAAGAGGAAAAACATTATTCCTGGAAGATTCCATGATCAATTCGGCAGCTTCTTATATTCTTCAGCAATAGAAAATGCTCTTGCTTGTGTTAGGGTGCCTTGTAAGTAGACTATAGAAAGGTGCCTCTTTATTAGCTAGCTAATTACAATTTTCTGCTTGCTACCATAATATTCATAGGGCACAGACCTTCACTCAAAATCTTCTGCATCTGTAACTTTTCCTTTGTTTTCCATTTGACCAAATCCATTGTCCATTTGTTTTGCTCCAGAAGCAGAGACTCTATTGGTAATATTCCTACTACAGAGCTTATCCATTTTCCTAAACAACAGCAATGGCACTTACTTACATACCATCCCATAGTGCTTTACAGCACTCTCTGGGCAGTTTACAACGTCAGTCTATTGCCCCCAACAATCTGAGTCCTCATTTTACCAACTTCGGAAGGATGGAAGGCTGAGTCAACCTTGAGTCAGTCAGGATCGAACTCCTGGAAGTGGGCAGAGTTAGCCTGTAATACTGTATTCTAATCACCGCACCACCAGGAAGGAGAATGAGAAAGGGAATAAAAGAGGAAGGAAGGAAGGAAGGAAGGAAGGAAGGAAGGAAGGAAGGAAGG